GAAGAGGTCCCCTTTTTTTTATGAATATTTGTAAATAATTTCCCTATCTACAGAAGTAATTCATGCTTAAAAATTAGAAGTAATTTCAATTACAAGAAGAGGCACTAATTTTTTCCTTTCTTGATTTGATTTCTATGTGGCAGCAAACTCACCAAAGACAAAATGTTGTGGAAGAGAAGGTGATAATGGATGGTTTTATAAGTGGGGTGGAGTGAATTTTACGAAAGTGGGAGAAAGGTGACCTCTGCTCAGAAGCCTCCCTGCTCATTAGCAGGTGGATGTGGTTTAAAGATTCACTGTGCTGCAAAGGAGGAATCAAATTAGGTGTTGTGAGAAGCTGTCATTACTGTGTGTTTCTCTGTACAATTCCAGCTTAAAGCATGTCTTTCCTTTCATAGCAGCCCCTCAGATTACTGTATCTCATCCTTTCCACATCAAAGTGCTGTCAGCACTTTTATAGTATAAAAGGAACGCAGAGATAATTTTATAATACATTCTCTTCAAACAGCTTTGACTTATGCAGTTGCAACATTTCTCTTTATTCTGGGATTTGCAAAGGAAGATGTACTGAAATGAATAGCATCTAAAAGCTGAACAAAAACAGGGAACAAAATATCTATTTAAAATTGGACCAAAGCACCTCTGCAGGGATGGTGAGGATTTTAGGAAAACAATTCTTCTCAAGTGCCATCTGAATTATACTTCAGTCAGCTTGCAAGAACCTCTGTGAGTGTGGAAAATATCCATCCTTGAAAAGCATGAATCATCTCTTTTTATTTACTAGGTAAAAAAAACTTGGTACCTTAAGTCTCCAGTGAAAGGCACAATAATCTCAGATCCCACTCTCCACCTCAAAGGCTCCATCTCAGCTAGTAGCCAGCAGCTTGGGCTCACTATCTTGACCTTACTGCTCTATGAGGAAGTAAAATAGTAAAATAATACAGGAAGAAAGTGAGTGAAAGGCAGCAGAAAGACAGAACTTTGTAGAACTGGCTTTAACTTTGTGGGTGTTTCTTTAATTCCACTCTGCCAAGAAATTTGTTTTCTTCTTCATGCAGCTATGCATATATAACGTATAAATATTTCCCATTGTATTTCCTTGCCATGTTTGTCATTTGCCAGTATCTGTAGAAGAGGTTGTCACAGAAGTGACTAATGCTAGGATGGAAACAGAAAGGAGAAAAGCTGACAAACTGCAAAGGGAGGGCAGCCTGTGTTGGCCAGCAGACAACAAGCAATTCCACATGCTTCATCCACCCATCTCCTGTTTCAGGCTTTCTCAACAGCTGGGATTGGAATGATCTGATACAGGACCGCCTCTTTTCCCTGGTGGAAGGCTAAAGGCATTGAAGCTTACTTTCATTGGTGTTCAACTGGACTACTACAGTCAGTCTTTCCAAAACAAATAGGTTTTCTGATATTCTTCCTGATGTTTCTATGTAGGCAAATAATAACCTAGCAAGCTGTGGAGTTTGAAGACTCAGGGATCTCTTTGACATTGTGGTTGAAGGCAGAGCAACACAGGAAAAATTCTGGACAGGATGGACCTAGCTATTGCCACAGAAATGATAAACCTGTGTCAGCAGGTGGGACCACATCCTCCATACATGTAGGAACTACAGAGTTTTGGGTTTATCCAATTCACAGGAAATTTAGGTCAGTTTGTTTTTTTGTTTTTTGTTTTTTTTTTTTCAATGGGAAAGAGAACTACAGCTGAATGAATAATTACCAAAGCACTGTATTTAATTGTCAAGATTATAATTCAATATTCAAATAATTATTTTTTAGAATGAAAAAGCAAAGCATTACTGTGAAATAAGGTAAGAACATTCACATGAAAGCATGAAAGCATAGAGTTCAATGAGAGAAAGAGAAAAGCGAATATTTGGATAACTTTTTTTCTTTTTAATACTTTTTGGAAAAAAACATTTTGAAATCAGAAGAATGAAAGCTTTGATCTGTATATACTATGTTTGTGAGACCCAGCTCTACCTAAATACCACTTAACTTTGCCTCAGAATCATAGAAGATTTACATTCAAAACTATTTCTTCCTTCTATGTTTGCTTTTGCTCCCTTGTCTTAGCATACGACACAGCAGCGCGTCCTTGGCTGTTCATGAATTCACAGGGACAAATACTTTGTAATAGTGTTCCATCTTACAGAGAGGTCACAAACCGATCTTGCTTACTTGGGTGTAAATCCGGAGAAACTCGGCTGAGCTCAATAGACTTACTCAGGCCTGAAATCAATTATTGCCGTGCTGTGAGTGAGATGGAGCCCGGCTCCCGGGCGCAGTTGTGGCACTGAGGTGCAGACGGAGCGGCGGGGCAGGGGCAGCGCTGG